CTTGACTAATCAAATAAAATTTTGAATTTCTGTCATCCTTAAAATCACTTTTCTCTTCTGTGTGTTCCTCTTTTACGTAATATGTCATTAAGGTGGAAACTGTTCAAACAATTCTAACAACCACCATCTTCGCTGAAACATAATTGTCAGTTTGCTTTTTAAATGAAGGTTTGTTTATGATACCAGCACAATATAACAGAGAACAAAGTGTTTACACAATACACACCAAAATACAAGCAGTTTGGCTGATAAACGTGCATACTGAATTGCGGCAACACTGCCAGTTTATTTGCTTGTAAAGTTTCTTATACATGTCCATAAATGAAGCAAATCAGTGGTAGGAAAGACTGATATAATGAACTTGGAATAAATTTCAACTTCAGCTTTGCAGAAATTAAATCTCTAAATCATGATGGCACAGCTGTATTTGCTCAAGATAAGCATGCTTTACTACTAAACCACACAAACACCCAAAAACATTAATGCATTTAGCAGATGCTATTATCCAAAGTGACTTGCAGCTAACAGAGGTGGACAATACACAACTTCCTTACTTGAGTGAAACTATACTCAAATATTGCTCTGTTATAAGTAAAAGTTGTAAAGACCGATTTTTACTTAAGTAAATTACAGAAGTACTCGTTTTTAAAAGTAGGCCTTTAAGTATCAGAAGTAAAAATGTAAATGCATTGTTTTATTTAATACAGTACCTTATGCCTCTGAATCTATGCCTGCCTACCTACCCTCATATCAATATCAAATTAAGTTCTAGAGGTGGGATTGAATGTGAGATTGAATAAGTGCACTCAATAGCGTCCACAATGGTTTAGGACACCAAAATGGCTATTCCCTCAAATAGTGCTCTATTTAAAGTTTTTTGGCATTTATTATGAATATGTTAGCCTTACTGTCTATAAGCTGTGCTCCAAAACAATGACAAAATTTGCATTTAGAAGACCAAACCCAACGTTGAAAATGAAAATCGGGTTGACGTCAGAAACCAACATCCGTCGGGTTCTGACGTCAATCTGACGTCGGTTTGTGACGTCAACCCGACTTTCATTTCCAACCAAAATGCAACCCCTGCAACCAAAATCATCCCCTGACTGACGTTACTACTTTCTATTCAAGGACCTTGACAGATATGTAGTGGAGTAAAAAGTACAATATTTTTCTTTCAAATGTGGTGAAGTTAAAGTAAAAAGTTGCCAGAAAAAAATAATACTCAAGTAAAGTACAGATACTCCAAAAGTGTACTTAAGTACTACTGTCCACCTCTGACAACTGAGAAACAAAAGCAATTCGTCATAGAGCCAACAATATTTGTACAATGCCAGGTTCAGAAAGCAAGCTAGACAGACAGACAGATACACTTTAGCATGATTTTGGAATACTAAATATTTATGACACTTCAAGATTGTAATTTTCTTGCATATTTACTGTAAAAATGATATGATCAATAAGTTGTGACAACATGTTTTACATTGCTTTAGCTTATCAAAACAAGTTAAGCAATTTTCAACCTTTTTTTTATGTTATACAAGATTAAACTAATTTATTTAAGTCAATTGAGTCATTAGTGCACTTTGACTGATCATCATCCATATTTCCACTCAGACAAAACAGACAGACATGATTACATGTATTTACAGAATAGTTTCATCCGCTGACATTTGACCTCTGAAGCTGCCATGTGCACATCTTTAAGAATGGTGTTGTCGATGTCTTGATTGGTTGTTTTGAGTGGATGAAGGGGATAGAGAGGAAGAGAGGATGAGGACTGGTTTTCATTTCCAACTTTTTAATTTTTTCCAACTTCCAACAAAGTCTGTGAATCCCAAAATAGTAAGAAAAATGTGTTAATTAATTAAATTAACTATTCTATGCCCTTTTGTGATTAGAGTATTCACACTAAAAATTCCAACAAGAAAGTGCACTTTAAATACCCGGATAATGAACTTATTTAACCCCTCCCAAAAAAAGTGTAGAATGTTGGAGACTTCATGCACTCAATGGAAGCAGCTTTAGTTATGTATAGCAGAAGGAGAAGAGCTATCAGACACACTGATGCTGGATGAAAAAGTAACCTTATAAAACCAAGAGTAGGCCTACCACTGAAAATAATGACTTTGTGGTATGGTAAAATCTATTACATTAATTCATGTAATTTATACATTGTAAAATCAAGATTAAGTTGGAACTATAATAAATTGTGTAAATTTTACTTAAGATATTTATGTAATAATTTAACTGAGAAGAAAGAGTAAATTGTATCATATATTTGCAAATACTATTTAATGTTTTATAGTCACACCACATTCACCCAAAGTCAATTTTAATCTGAAAAGCAAAGTCCGTTTGAATCCGCGCGCGTTTTTTTTTTTTTTGTTGTTGTTGTTGTTGTTGTTGTTGACTACTACAAGATCCCGCTTCTTCAGTTGTGGCAGAGACGGTCGGTTTGGGATGTCGCTTTTACACGGCTGACTTATTTTCGGTATGTTTTGACTTTTCTATTCTAGATTTTATGATAACAACCATGTGTTCATTTTGATGGTTTGATTATTGCATAGTCTTTACGGTTCAAAATGATCTTAACGTGAGTTTTAATCACAATAACGTTAGCTTAAGCCTCATGAAGTACTGAGGCTTTCCCCTGAGTGTTTCAGAAAAAGATTCGAAGCATCTAGAGTGTCGAAAACAGCGCCATCATGTGGCCATAGACAGCTTGGCATGTGGCAGGTCAAATATATAGCAGCCATGTTTATGAGCAGCTGAGTGCGCAGCTGAGTGTTCAGTTTTCTGATAATATAATTCAAATATTAAAGTGTGGCAATACAATAAATGTAACGATTATATTAATGGCCTACTAATTATAAAAATACAAACAGAGTTGCTTGATGCAAGTAAATCTTTGTCTTATTATTTTATGGTTTCTATGCTGTTTATGTGTCAAAATATATGATCATGTAACATAGGCGTATTTATATATATATTTTTAATAGTTTACGGTGGCCGAGAGAGCTCAACGCGCTGCAACTGAAGAAAACACATGCAAATACAAAAAAACACATGCAAATACAAAAAAACACATGCAAATAAAATAAAACGCATGCAAATAGAAAAAAACGCGTGCAAATAAAAAAAAACACCCGCAAATTAAGAAAACATCTTCATCAGTTTCACAACACACGTGTGCTCCAAATACTCACAACACCACCAAATACAAACGTGCTGCAAAAGCTCACAACACAAATACAGAAAACGCGCTGCAAATAACACAGAGCACAACGGAAATTTTTCCAGAGGAACCAAATAAGTGACGAACCCGGCTGGGACGTGCTCAGGGGACGTGCTGGAATAGATATCCATAAATCTATGCGTCCATACATATAGTTTTATGTCTATATGTATGGACACTCTTGAAAATGAGATGTTGCATCTCAAGGGGCTATCCATTAATAAAATTGAAATTGAAATTAATTTCCTTATTATTTTCACCTGGGATGTTCCCATGACAACGCAGCACAGCGTCCATCAGCTGAAGAGCTGTTCTTACCACAGAAATATAATGCTGTCAACATAACGGATGCAAATACATTTTTATTTTTAGTTTACAAAAAAGCTTTTAAAATATGCGTTATATCTGTGTGTCTCAACTTTAAAATTTTGGACCCTACATTACCTAACATTTCTTACGAAACTTTTCTTTATGAAAATGTAATAACATGAAACAATTTGTACAGTGTAACTGATGTATAGATAAATATCTTTCCTTCATGATTTTCTTCTTTATCTTTTTTATTTATTTATTTTAGTTTCCAGCTCATTCTTTTCTCATTTGTATTCTGATGACATTGAACACATTGTTAATACATTTTGTACATTGTATACAAGTTGTATGTCATAAAAAAAATGTAATCTCTGTATGTTTTGCAAAAATAAATAAATAAAGTATAATTTTAAGCTGTAAGCACCAGCACGCATAGATTTATGGATATCTATGCCACTGCCAGCACGCACGTCCCAGCCGGGTTCGTCACTTATTTGGTTCCTCTGGAAACATTTCCGTTGTGCTCTGTGTTATTTGCAGCGCGTTTTCTGTATTTGTGTTGTGAGCTTTTGCAGCGCGTTTGTATTTGGTGGTGTTGTGAGTATTTGGAGCACACGTGTGTTGTGAAACTGATGAAGATGTTTTCTTAATTTGCGGGTGTTTTTTTTTATTTGCACGCGTTTTTTTCTATTTGCATGCGTTTTATTTTATTTGCATGTGTTTTTTTGTATTTGCATGTGTTTTCTTCAGTTGCAGCGCGTTGAGCTCTCTCGGCCACCGTAGTACATGGACTTAAACTTACAAAAACCTGTAGAGTAGTGGTCTGGGTTCAAACATTCCGACCCTCTTTTTTTACAGTCTATGATTCCGAGTCCGACACGCAAAGTGAAGCATTCACGTGACTGGAAAGAAGGCGAGGCTTCGTTTTTCGTTGATCGAGTGTTTCTCTGAAAACAATACGAGTTCCGGCACGGAGCTTCATGAGAAATTGCGCTGTGTACTCGATACGCGCTTTGAAGCTTCAGTCAAATGTAACATCACTACTGTGCTCACATTGCTGAGATGCTGAGATTTATTACAGCATTAAAAGACAGACAGTGTTTAGAAGTATTTAATGATTCTTATGATTACAAATCCATGATATCATTATTGCTTATTATAAAAACTATATGTTCAAGAATTTAGTGACGTAAATATTCATTGAAACTCAAAAGAAATTCCCACTAATTGTTCAGCAGAAACATACTGTGATCACAAATGAAGAGATCAATTTTAAATTGCATTTCATTGTTATATATAACATTTTTATATAAGAAATGTACATAAAAAAAAGCTAATTAAATGAAGAAAAAAAGTTTAAAGTGTCTACAATTAATCTAGCTGGTTACATGCTACAACTTGAAAGAGAGAAAAACAAAAGACAGAGAGGTACAAATAGACTAACGGAGTGAGGTGCTGTTGTTAAACTTATGTTGAACATAAACAATATACATTTACACCCCTGAGTGTAGTCAGTGAAGCCAATCTGTGACAGACTGTTTGCACTGTGCAACGTTTCCAAAGCAGCGCTGAAGTAAAATCTCTGGCAGAACAGGCAGATAAAGATCTTTTAGCACCTGACTTGTGTGCAAGTGAGTTGCTTATAAACCTGTTTTTGAATAATCCAGGGAATTATGACATACTTCACACTGCAGAGACACAAAAACAAAAGTGAGTTGGAGCAAGAAAGATTTACTTTTGGTTTTTACTTTTTGGACAAGCAAATTGTAGACTGTTTAATGCATGTTATGGTGTACAGTAATAAAACATAGCCCACCAAAAAAATTGGTAATAATACAATAATAAAACATATCAAAGCAAGTGGCATTTATTTTAAATACTTTTTTTTAAAGCAAGACATTTCAAGAATTTCAGGTTGAAAATGAGGTTCCAAACGTAGGTTCGGGAGGAGCCTAAAACAGCCATATAAGCAGCAGACACCGTGTCATCCCATTGACAAATTCTTTAGGCAGCCCTCCTTTTCCCCCTATATTTTTCTCTCTCCTCCTATGCACAATTCCGTTATAGGTTTTTTTTTTTACTCAGAGCTCGAGCCTCATCCAAGGACAGCAAGCCAAGTTAGTTTACTTTTAACCTTTAAGGCTGAATAGGCTGGTGAACTTGTGAAATGAATACAAAACAATAGATATACTTTTCAAAATGAAGACAAAAACACTGACTTCATACATACTTCCATTAACAAGATTCACTTCAAGACCAGTCAATTAAAAGTAATTGCAAAAAAGTAAAGTAATCTGGGAAAGTGACTAGCACCATTAGTTTGCAGATGCCACGTGGTTTGATATTTTGCTTTTAAGACAACAACTCTTTTATAAGTGAAGTTTGAGTTTTTTTGTGTATTATGGAAATGAATGTGTTCGGGCTTACCGGCACAGCGCTGTCTATAATCACTGCAGCATTTTGTCGTGCAGTTAGTATTGCAGTTGCAGCGATTTGAAGGGTTGTACTTCTCGTTGCATCTTCCCCTACAGGAGGTTGAGGCTGCACATACAAACAAGCATTAATCAAACAACTATGCTTTGAGTGGATATATGTGTGTAGGTGTCTGAGAGAGAGTTTTACTTAGGCTGGCAGAGGAGCATGAGTTTGGGGGGTTGAAGGTGACAAATCCCGGCAGGTTCTGAGCGATGTTGTTCGTGATCCAAGACTGATATCGAGACACGCGGGTGTAAACCCCAGGAGAGTTGGGATCGGCACAGCCATACCCCCAGCTGGTGATACCAGCCTGAACCCACACTGTACACTGCTGACTCACCATTGGCCCACCAGAGTCACCCTACAGAGAGGGACAAAAAGAAAGACAAAGGAGATGGGGGGGGTTTGTGAGGGTGAGGGGGGCTATTTTATCAAGATGGGACAGTTACATCAGAGAAAGTCTAATATGGGGAGAACTCCCACTCACATTAAACTTCCGGGTTCTGAACTGTTGCAGTTCCACTCTGGGTCCATATGAGGGCGCTCACAGGCGGAGTGCAGAATGAATGGAGGTCTATGGAGCAATACCCCTAAAAATCCACTTTTCTCAGGATATAATTTTTTGTCTAGTAATTCGAATGTTGTATTCGAAAGAAGATGCAAAGAAATTACACATTGCTGGGTGTTAGATTTTTTAGAGTCACTTATTTGCTTTAAAAAGTCTTTTAAAATGTCAATGACGTCATACACATCGTACGACCAGAGAGAGACCTGCTTTACGGCAATCCTTCATTCACTGGTGCTTTCGCGCATAGACAGACGAGAGAAGCCGCGAAATTTAAAAATACTACTGTTATTGTGTCACGAAATGTAGTTTTAATAGTTTTTCAGTCCACAATGTAGTTGTTGAAAGCTCAAATCTGTGGTTTATTTATAAAGATAGCGCTTATTTAAAAATTTGATCTGACGTTTTCGGAGTTGTGATATCCAAGCCTTTACCGGGGTCTAAGCGCTCTGCACCCCGCCTGGAACAGCCTTTCCTCGGTGCTTCTGACGTTTGTGGTTAAACGTGACATATAATCCGTCTTGTGTATATCTAACGGGCGATCTTTGGTCTCATTAATCTTGTTCCCTGGCAAATCGTTTTGGCTGACGGCAAAGTGAAGTTTCATAACTTTATATTGTGGCTATTTTAACGTTGTATCCTGCTGTGTCTGAATCGTTTACTTTATTTATTGTCTTGTATAACTCTTCTTATACCTTTTAGGCTACTTATACTGTTATAATGTCTCTTACTGATCAATAAAACTGAAAAATAGACAGGGTTGTGTCATTTTATTTTATATAGCCTATATTTTATATAGCCTTTTCATTACTATTTTATTTGCTGTACTGTTTGTTTGTTTATTTTATTGACTAAACTATTTACTATTACTTCTCACTTTATCTTATATTTACTATTTGCACTGCACTGTAGTTGTACCATATCGTATTACCATAGATAAAGGATCCATCAGTTATCTTTGTTATTGCTAAAATCGGGTCAATCACAGAAAATGCTTTTTCCACAATAAGAAAACTATCGCAGCAACGTTATTATGTCTATGCTTTTGCGTTCTGCACTTTCTTTTCTCTCGAGGCATCTACTACACAACTGACACAGGTAAATACATGTGTGGTCCCGCTTCGGATGCCACGATGCCATCAAGCGGTATCTCTAGTCGTAATCAGTCCTTCACTGACCAATCAGCGTCCATTAGCAGAATGCTAGCGTGTTATGGGCAACAACAACTCAACCTGTAAGAAATCGAAAGGACATAAGTACTCGTTCATTCAACTTTCGATCTATAACCCATGTTGGACTTGCAAAACCTACATTCAAATCTAAAATTTCTCAATGACAATCGGGTGAAAAAGACCAATTTAGCCGTTTAGCCCCATAGACTCCCATTCATTTTGCACTCGGACTATTGCCCCCAGTGGAACTCTGGTGGAACTACAACCAAAAAGTCGGTACTTAATAGGGAGTGGCCAGGCTTTCCGTAGACGGGCTTTGGTTACATGCAACAGGAAAAGGGCAGTCCGGGTCCGCACTCCAACCTGTGCCCCACAGGAGCACTAGCCCTTGTGTTTCATGTATATTTACACTACTGGAGCTATTCAACAACAAGCATTTACACTAAATGAGCAATGTGAATTCCAGAAATATACAGTAGGTTTTAAAGTGCTATCTTGAGTGTTATACGGTAGCTGTACAAGCTTAGGTTATTTGTAGTAATAATCTGGTTGGGGTTTGTTGTACCTGGCAGGTGTCTTTGCCTCCCTGCGTTAAACCAGCACAGATCATGTTGTTGGTAACAGATCCAGAACCCAGCAGAGTATTACATCGAGTGTTGTCCACGACTGGAACCATAGTTTCCTGCAGAGTCCCAGGAGCAGGTAGGCTCACTGAACGTACACAAACACACATATAATTATAAATAAAAGATGTTATAAATTGATGCAAATGTGAATTTATGAGTTTGTGTGTGTTTTCTACCTCCAGATTGAACGTTTCCCCATCCTGTGATCCAGCTGCTGGTGCCGGCACTGAAGACGCTGGTCTGGGCTGCCAGACAAACAGGTTTAATGTAGTTATTGAAGGTAACAGTGGAGGACAGGCGCAGAAGAGCGATGTCATTGTCATTTGTGTTGCTGTTGTAAGAGCTGTGAACGACTTTCGTTCTCACAGTTCTCATGACTTCATTGGCATTGGATCCCTGCTGTGTCCTCCTTCCCAAGTACACACGCAGACTGGATATAGTCACGCTAGATACAGTCAGAGTACATGAAAGTGAGAAGAACAAAACAACCAAGTGGCTTCTACCAATAAAAATAAATAAATTAAAAACGTGTTTTGATGTGAATTTTACCCAGGTAAACAGTGAGCTGCCGTCAGCACCCATTCATTGTTGATGAGGGATCCTCCGCAAAAATGACCTCCATAGGTGGAGCTGTGCAGACTGACCTGCCACGGCCACGACCCATCGGGGGCGTTCACACCACCCACAATACGGGTGTTTAGAGGGGCTTGTCCACAAACTATGAGAGAGAAAGAGAGGAGAGAGATTGTTCACATTAGCATATCTACATTAACTATTTGACTTGATGTTAACATCTGAAGAAAGAGAGAAGCTCTTACCATTCAGCTGAGAAAGTGAACCTGCAAGGACAGAAATAACGTGTACATTAGAATAATTAATTTTGATGTTTTCCTTAATAATGACACTGCCAGAGATCCTTGCTCTGATAATGGTAGATTAAACTTTTGAGACTGAACATGCGGAAAACATCTGTGGGCAAACCGGTTTTATACAATAAGCACAATTAACAGCCTTCTTTCCCTATTCAAAAAGAGACATCCTGCAAGTACATTCCATGTGCATGGTAGGTGTGGCTCACAATGTAAAACATTTATAGGTTTCTGTAAAAGTAACAAAAGAAAGAAATATTTTTTTGGATTATTAAAATAATGTTGCCCAGAAAGATAATTTAAACAGATTATCTCACAAACCTTTTTACTTTGAATCTTATGTAAAAAATAGTCACTGTGAACCTGGATACAGTGCGATTTTTTTTTATTTCAGTCAAAGGCAAGCGTGAAATGTCTTTGTTTACACGCAACCCAGTAGGGGGAGCACCGCATGCGTCTTAGGACAATATAACTTTGTAAATAAAGCGGTAAAAAATAATTATTTTATTTTTTTGCGCAAACAAATCGCGTCGCTACATAAAATTGAGGTTAAACTACCATTAGTTTCTGGACCTTGACTTTGCTAATGGAGGGGCAGAAAGCACAGAACCCTCTCAGATTTCATCAAAAGATTTCAGGTTCCAAACGAAAGTGAACAACTAACGTTAGATGTCTTCACGAGGCCGTTAGCAAGCTACCCTTCGCCTACATGCAAGACTGTCCTTACAAACAGAGAAATTCAAGTTGTTTTGTTATGTTCGTGATATATTTCACACATTTTTGTCATGTGGGTGATTCTACGATTGCAGGTAGGCCTATATGGTGCAGTCATTATTCTTTCCTGCTTTTTTCAAATGTTTATTTTTTAAATTATTTTAATATTTTGTTATTCATTATCATGGATCACAAGATTACAGGCCATAACAATATATTTTCTTTATGAACAATATGATTTCTTGTTGTTATCACATCAGTGTATTTTTTCCATCATGTATCGTAATCAAAATATTTTATTTTACTTTTCTTTAGGTAATATTTCATTTATTTTATTAATAAAAGCCCTATATAGTCATTTTCCTAATTCTACAACATTGAATTGTTTAAAAATAACTTATCTTATAAAAATGTGTGATACATCTTGCATCAATTCTGCTACGCTATACTTTGCCTTTATAAATTGGTGGAATTATCTCCCACAAATATGTTAGACAGAAAATGGTCACTTTACCTCACTGATAAGGTCTGAAGCACTGAAAGGTATGTGCATGTGCTCTTCCTCTTCCTGAGAAAATATTTTAATCTACAAAGTTTTTAATCTTGCACCAAGAGTTTTTTTGTTAAACGTCAAAATTGTTACCACACTATCAAGGGGAAAACAGAGTCACTATAGTGGGTTAATTGTTTAAAAGTCTTTTAATCATGATTTCATTAGTGCCATGTGCTCATAGCATTTATGCTAGGAAGTGGAGTTTTTGGCTAAAAAGTTTAAAATGGTCAATTCTGTTACCGTCAAATTCTGTTACCAAGGTAGTGTAACGATGTTGCCTAATTTGTCTGTATATCGACCCCTCGAATTTTACACTTCAGGCAGCTCCATAGGCCTATAACTCAATGAGTCAATGCAACGCGATTTTGACGTCACCGCATATCGCGTTTAATTTACCACCACCACAAAGTCATTTTGGTGATCAAAGATGAGTTTTAAAGTATACAATTATTGACTACAGGGGGACTTTAACTTTTTGAAATCCAAGAGAATTCCATAGAATCACCCATGTAATGTTTAAATAAGATTCATAAATGTGTCAGGTAGCCTAATGCAGGGTCCAACGATTTGACTGCACATTTTAAAGTTTAGACTAGAGCAGAGAAAATACTAGCCTGGTCCCACCAGACTCTCGTACATTTCATTTGTACAGAGAGTCTGGCCTCGCTCCATTGACTTTTGACAAGCGTTAACTTCCTTGTAGGCGGGTAGCCTACTGCTTTGAAGTTTAAAACTATTGGATCTGCCATAATCGCTAACGTTTGGTCGTGACTTTTTTCTTTTCTTTATTGAAAATATCAAGATTTACAGACAAACATGGCTGCATAAAATCCGTTTCTTCAGAATAGGATACAGAGAAAATATAGCCAGAGGGAGCAGCTCTTAATACAAACAGGAAATAGTCTTAGTAACAAAAATAAGGATGATTTATAAAAGGAAAAAAGAACATAATAAATAAACGGATAAGAAATTATAACATTCAGTCTTTGTTCAGCTAGTTGGGAAGTGTTTTAGGGTATCATACTTTTTTTTGTGCTTTAGGATCTTTCTGAGTTTTTAAGGATTTTATATACAGTTTAAATTCATTAAAAAAATAAAATAATTTGGGACATGATTTCACAATTCTACATTTGTACATTTGTGAATGAAAAATTTTGCTAGACATACAATTGTATTAGTACAGGCTAGAGCTCATCACCCTTCCTTTGCAATATCAATCCAAATGTTATGTCGTCACTATAGATAAAGGTTGGGAATGAAGACACCTGTTGCTTAACCCATTTATGTATATCACACCAAAATATTACATGAGAAAAACACATGGTCCGTAGTTTCGACATCATTTTCACAGAATGTACATGTGTTATCTATACCAAAGCGAAGTCAGTAATTCTTTAGAGGGATAAATGTTTTTCAGTACTTTGAAGTGTGTTTCTTTCACTTTGGGAGGTATTGGTAGTGTTAGATACATTGTTCTTAGTTTAGTAATTGAATCTTAATCAAATCTTTGTAGAATGTTTTTTTTTTTTTTGCCTTTCAGGGTCAAGGTATTCAGTACGTTTGGTCGTGACGTATGACGACTCAAACTAGCGCACAACATCAACGTCGTCGTTCTCAGCCACTCCCTCTGTTCGCTGATTGGACCGGTAGAAAATTGACCGGAGAAAACCAAAGAATACACCACACAATCCCAGGTAGTACTGAAGGAAAATGAACATTTTGCGGAAGTTCGTAGGATGGTGGAGCCAGGCTAGAGAAATACATTCACTCACAAATTTCATGTTAATGAGTAAGTCACGCACTTATTTTGAAGTGGCACCACTTAGGTAGGGAGGGTTCTACTGAAAGCAAAACTATTTCAATGCAGAAAAACTATAACCTCAAATAAAAATTATTATTATTTATATTTAAACTTTATAATGAGAACTTTGGGACACTATTCAATAGCCTATCTAACATTAGAGTAAACTTTACTACGCAATGTTTAAAATCGGATATCAATAAAACAAGTACTCATTAAATTCATTTGAAAGGATTATTGCCGCTTCTACAGTCATCAGCCAATATTTAACAAACTATACACGTTTTTTGCTAGAACTTAGGCCTATCTGTATTTAAATGTCAGAAACATAAAATAAACATTATATGGTTAAAAACACAGAACAGTTGATAACGTGACGCACTGAACGTTCTAATCACACCAGTGCGATCGCACACTTCAAATGGTTAAATATCAAAAGTAAAAATCTATAGAATTGTTAATGAATCATTATTTTCATAGCCCTTAGACTGCTCTTATGTGCGGTGCAACAAAGAATATTATCAAAATATATTCACTTTTTATATGTCGGCCTATTATGTCTTTGTTAACAGTTATCCTCACTTTAATATATCTCGAGATCTTACCTTTTACACACATGAGCAGAGTCAAAGTCACACACGTTGATCTCCACATCTTCACACAGTCACTCTGTTCCTTAGCAGGATGCTGGTGGTAATTTGGTACAAAGTGACTCTACAGTCACTTTTATATAGTTGTTTCTCAAATTTCTCTTCTTGTCACTCACTCACCTGCCCACTTCTTTTCTCATAATGCTCCTCCTCCATTTTCTGTCACTCTGTTTCATTCTTATCATTCTTTTATGCCAAAGATGACAAGCAAATTAGCCACTGTTCACTGAGAACATTTTTCACATCTGCACTTGTTGTAGGCATTGTTAAGGTATGATTGTGCAGATACGCAACAGCAAACATCCATTAGGTCATTGTTTGAGAAGTCACAGAGCTTGATAGCTTTCTGCTCATTTGATAATTCGTAATTTTTCAAAAGATTTTCAAAGTGGCCCAACAAGTGTAATTCAGAAGAAAAAGCAAAAATGTGAAATGGCAAAGGAAAATATCTTAAGACATCATGACAACACATTCTTTCTGTCTTTTTTCTTTTAGTCTTTCTTTCCTTGCTTTATTTTTACTAACACATACATAAAGAAAAAAACATACTACTTAAAAAAGCCATGACAATAATGCCCTTTATTTTCAGACACAGACAATGGGCTGTAGTGAATGATTACGAATGGTAACTTATTGTCAGATGGCAACCATTGTTACTCATAAAAGACTTACACAAGATAACTGAGTCAGTTTGTGTTGAAATCAGGGCTCTGAATAGGTTCAAGGAACGAAAACAAAAGCTGGAAACGAACAATTTTTGACATGGCCTTGTATGCAAATCAGTTTCAGGGTATAGCTCATCGTCTGCCTGGTATGTCTAATATGTAGTTTGCTGCTTACACTTTAATTTAAAAAAGTTGTATAATTTGTAGTAACTTGAAAATAGAAATGTTAGGGTTAGGGTCGAAATTTTTGTGGTTATCAATCATTGTGCTGAAGAGTTACATGAAGGTAAACACTACATTGACCCTGCAGCAATGGCTGTGTTAATGCCACTGACAAATGTAATATCCTACTTCATTAAATTTATGAGCTAAATAAGTTACGTTTAGCATGTGCTATGATAAGATCTGTGGATTTTAACTGAAATAGATGTTTAATTGGTTCCAGGACTACTATTCATGTAATTGG